CACTTCGTTGCCATTGTTGTTTTTGCTAAATAAAGTTGTCGATAACTATGTCCATAGTGAAAGTTAATTATTTACGACTATTATGCTGCAAAGAGAGCAACGCTCGTTTTTATGATAGAAGAAAATCTAATGAGTTTCTCTTACGATGGATTCGAAACATGCACGTCTTACAACCGAAGTTGACGACACGGAAGTTGATTTCTCGTCGTCTTACTTCAACTTTCAAATAAAAGGATTGTTAGAGGAGAAAAATATCACGATAAAGGCCTTCGCATTTGCTTCTCCTGACTTGCACATTACAAATATAGTTCATCGCTACATCAACAAAATCTAAAATTTGATTTCGTCTACAATATTACATCTCTGTTTGCAGAAATGGGCTTTCCGTTTTGAAAACAACGGCCTTTTTTCTTTATCCGCCACATTTCTCTAAATCCAACTGTAATCCCGCCCCTTTGGCTCTAGAATTTACGGTCAAACGGAGTCCGCTGTGAAATATGAAATGGTTCTCTGACTGCATGCATGCATGTAAATATTTATTTTCACAAGTTTTGGCTATATGACTTGATAGCCTTCGACGAGTAAATATTGTAGAAATATTTACAGTCAGAGAGGTTTCGTGTGACGTTTCATCCCTATAAGTTATCATATTATACTGTATATTGATTTTGTATTTTAATCTTAATATTTATTTGTTAATAAATTATTGTTTTTCAAGCACGTTTTGAATGGTTTAATGGCGAAATGGAATGCAATTTTGATCATTTTAACCAATTTAAATGTATAACCAACTTTAATTTGGTCATTTGAAATTGGTTAAAATGACCAAAAAAAATTGGTCGTTTGAATGCGTCTGAGACAACCAGTTTAAATTGGTATTTTTAACCAAATAGTTAATTGGTCAAATTGACCATTTATTTATTGGTCAAAACAACCAATTATTTCCGGTTGTTTTGACCAAAAAATAATTGGTCAATTTGACCAATTAAATAATTGGTCAATTTGACCAATTACTTTTTTGGTTAAAACGACCAATTTAAACTGGTTGTCTCAGACGCATTCAAACGACCAATTTTTTTTGGTCATTTTAACCAATTTGTTTTTACTGTGTGGATATGATAAAGACGATACAAGCTGTCTATTAAAAAATAACGGTATTCTATTCCACAAAGCAAAAGATTTAAATCTCACTTGTATTATTAAGAATATATATAAAGCAAAACATTTAAACTTGTGTGAGTTGTGTCAAAACGAAAGCTGTTTATAAAATTTATAAATGTTGTAAACACTACTATTAATATAAAGTGCCATTGAAAGACATAATATAGTATACTGTCGTTTGACTTATCTTTGATGTATGATTTTAATACCGTAGATTTTCAACGGACAGCTAGATTTTAACATATACCATGATTGTTGAGTTTCAGCAATGCCAAGGGCCAATGCAGGAAGTTTTATAAGCTTTTATAGTCAACAATCTGGATACAGTTGGCGTCTTGGCGATATTTCGGAAATCAAATGTCTCGCTATTTCGTTGCAATTCCATGCCACATCTCATCAATAAATAAATTCTTTTGGTTCGAGTATCTAGATATACTTTACTAACAGTTAAATAAATGAATAACCACATTGTTCAGTCTAGATATATATATTTTCTTGTACTGCTTTTATATTGCCACGCCGTCCACGCGTGCTTTCTCAGTGTCAAGTCTATAAGTTGAAATCTGATCCAAGTTGCTTGAATTGTAACTCGACACTAGATTAGAAAGTCACATCACGATAAATATTAATTTTTAATTGCAGTTCTTTTCACGAATAATCACGATTTCTCTGAAGATTCAATCTTTATTGTTTATATTTATAGAGCGATCTAATTAATTGTGACAATATATACTCACTCCCCCGACCCTAGTAAACAATACGCCATTTTACGCAAGAGCAAATACCCTGGGTACGAGGTTGGCTTTTTATCACTCTTCCAACACGTTGCGAGTCGGTAAACCGTGTGTAACACATCTGATGATTTTTTTTTTTTCTGTGTTGGTGTTGTGTACTCAGTTGTGGGCTAGTATTCCAAAGGTCGTAGGTTCGAATCCCACCGTGGCCGGGCATATTTTTCAAGCTCGCCCGGTGTGGATATGCACTCAGAGTAGCATCGCAAACATACATCTGATGATATCCACCATGTACTGGAATTGGAATTGCATTTGCATCAACGACGTTATCGATGTTGAATTCTGCATGTTTATCAATAAACTTATTCGCAACTTCGGCTTGATCTCCATCTAAATATTTCCATTTTGGAACATATTTTAAGAATGTATTCCATGTCCTGGCCGAAAATGGTACAATCTTGGGATTTGCCGGTGGATCAACGCACATCATACACACTTTCTCTTGTATATTGTCATCAGACTCTTCACTTGAAACGTTTTCTTCGCCAGAAGCCGCCATATTGTCTCACCGGAGCTCGAGGAGCCTACGGCAATTATCAGACTCAATCGCTGGGGACATATACCCGATTCACGCATATTTCAAGTTTGTAAATAGACAGTAAATATATTGCAATTGCTAACTAACGTACCAGAATCTCGCGTGTGAAAAGAGACAGAATAATCTCCAAAATTTTATCTACAATTTGATACCAATATCATGCCCACCCTCGTTGTGGGTCACGAAACGACAGAATATTGTGGTACGGCCCACTGTCTAATTCTTTGTAGATCATTGTAACTATACCAAGGCGGTCTCATGGGGGCTTTTTCCCTGAGGTTTTAGGCGGGGCTAAATAGAGGCCAACCTCGTTACAGAATCATCATTACAGAAACGTTTGGGAACTTTTCATTCTAAAGTGTTCCAAGCTATTATAGACAATCAATATATGCAGTGAAAGCAATGTCGTCGTTAATACTGTTTATTATTGATCTCCTCTATGAGCCTTGCTCTGATTGTTCTACTTTTATATTTGTTCTATTGATAAATCCCATCCAAGAGCGGTTTCTTTATTTCACTGTAATATAAGAAGTCTACCTAGAAATTTAACTCTGCTCAATTATGTGATTTATACTCTGTCATCAAAACCCGATGTTATTGCTATTACAGAAACCAAATTGAATGTGAACACCATACATAATATTGATATTCCAGGTTACAATTTCTATCATGTAGATTCAGCAACTGCAGCAGGTGGAGCTGGTATTTATGTAAATTGCATGTTAAAATCCATAAATAGACCTGATATTAAAATTTCATCTGAACTTGTGGAGTCCTGTTGGATTGAAATTCAGGCTAAAAACAATATGGGTAAGAATACAATTATAGGTTGTATTTACAGACACCCAAAAAGTAATGTAGGCCTAGATCATTTTACGGATGAACTGGAAAAACTATTAGGCCTACATTATCTTAATCAATGTAAATATCAAATAATCTTAACTGGTGATTTTAATATTGATTTTTTTCAATATGTGACTCACCAACCTACTGAAAAATACTTGGACATGCTGTACGCTAACAATTTTATCCCACTCATCACCAAGCCTACAAGAATAACGGATCATTCTAAAACATTGATTGACCATATTTATACTAACATGCCTCTTAGTGAAGTCTTACCTGGTATAGCTGTTTGTGATATATCTGATCATTTGCCTGTGTTTTGTGTTATGAATGTGCCTTGTCAAAAAATTAACAATAAACGATATTATTGTTAATATAAACAATTTAACAAAGAAGCTTATTTGCATGATTTAATGCAGATCGACTGGAATGCCAAATTAAAGGATTTAAGGTGGCTCGATACAGTTTTCAAAAATTCAGGTGTTTAACAGTTTGACATGTTCAAACTACGCATTTCTAGGATTTATTCAGCAGATATTGGTGTTTTTTATATATTTTGATAACTCTACTTTCAAATTATATTAGTTTTAGTAACAGATAGCTCGTTGCTATGACGACATACGTGTACGAAATTCACTCCAAAATGGCCTATCGTTTCGTATAGTTGGAAAAAAATCATGGTGACCCCCATTTTTTTTTCTTGCATTGTTTTACTTGGACGAAAAGCTAACAATTAGCAAAATATAAAAAAATTCTGTAATGCCATTTTTTTGGAAAATGCGAAAATGTCATATTCTTCGGTAAAATTTTTTTGGCATTACAGAATTTTTTTATTTTTTGTATAATGAAAGTTTTTAGCGGTGCAATACAGCATGCAAAATTTGAACATAGGTCACCAGGCAAAATAAAGAGATATAGCGCATTGTTTTTCTAAAATGGAAAATTCTAATGACGTCAGCAATCGACACAAAACGCTATACAACACGCGCAATGACGTGAGATGGCGCGAGCAACTGCTCACGTCAGGTCATTTTGGAAGTTCTTTCATTTTGTTAATCAGTTTGCACGACCTGCGCGTAAAAATGGTCGCCCAGTTTTGTTCGCGATTCTTGAGCAGGGTTTTTGTGATAACTATATCGAGACACCTTAACAAACAATATAAATCAAACTACTAAATGTGTTATAAAAACTATTGAAGAAATTTCGAACTACCATGCACCTATTAAAAAAATCCCATGTAGTAAATTGAAACAGTTTACCAAACTGTGGATCACTGATGGGATATTAAAATCAATAAAAAATAAACAAAAGATGTACCGTACCCATTTTTTTAGTAATAACAGTCGTAAAATCGAACAGTATAAAGATTATTCTAATAAGTTGAACAAAATAAAATCTGTGAGCAAAAAACACTACTATACGGCTCAATTTAGTACATGCAAAAACAACTTAAAAGCTACATGGAAAGTTATTGGTAATTTAATAAAACGTAAATCAAAAGGTCAGCAATTTCCTAACCGACTCAGAAGAAACAGTCATACTTATACTGATAATAAATGTATTGTCAATCAATTTAATGAACATTTTATCAATGTTGGACCTAAATTAGCGAATTCAATTGAGACTTGCCTAGATAATCTATGCATGTATATAGATAATTCTCCAGTATCTAGTTTTGCTATGTACCCAGTATCTGAATCTGAGGTGCAGTCTCTTTTTAATTCATTGGATGGGAATCGAAGCTCTACTAGCGTGCCAAACATCTTGGTTAAAACAGCATCCAATATCTTATCACCTGTTTTTACAGTGATATTGATGAATATATATCGACAGGTATTGTGCCAGATGTCCTGAAAATAGCTAGTATCACGCCAATCTTTAAGAGTGGAGCAGTGACGGATCCAAATAACTATAGACCTATACAGGGCCGCCGAGACGGGGGGAGGGGTTGCCCCGGGCCCCGAGGTTCTGGGGGCCCCTAGAAAATGTTGTTGGGCCCCAGTCATTTTTTTGCGCGAAATATTTCCGTTTTTGGGTCGAAATATTTGTGTTTTTTGGGCAAAGAACCGAAATTTGGTATGAAAAATTTGCAGGAAATTCCCACAAAAGCATTTACAACGTACTCGTCCGGAAATTTTTTTGAATAGGGGCCCCCTAAGAAAAATTTGCCCCGGGCCCCCGCCAAGCTCTCGGCGGCCCTGGACCTATATCGATCCTATCACCCTTTGTAAAAATATTGGAGCGCTTAGTATATATAATCAATTACAAAGTTTTCTAACAAGGCACAACATAATTTACGATTATCAATTTGGATTTAGAAAAGGGCATTCCACAGAACAGGCAATATTAGAAACAACGGATTATTTCAAAAAGTCAATTGATAAGAACGAAGTAACATGTGGACTATTTCTAGACTTCTCTAAAGCTTTCGATATTGTAAATCACGAAATTTTACTATCCAAATTATATAGATATGGAATACGAGGAATTCCACTGCTCTGGTTTCGAGATTATTTAACTAATCGCTACCAATATGTAAAGTTCGATAACGTTGAATCTGAACAGCAAAAGATGACATGTGGAGTCCCTCAGGGATCAACTTTGGGGCCTTTGCTGTTCATGTTGTATATAAATGACATGCCTAATTGTTCAAAAAATCGTTCTTTTCGAATATTTACTGACGATACGAATATATTTTATTCGCATATATCTATAGATGAAATTGAGCGAGTAATGAATGATGAACTATATCATATTATACAGTATTGTAATATAAATAACATTTCGATAAACTACAATAAGACTAACTATATGGTAATTACATCTACAAAGAAGAAAATACGTCATATAACGATTAGCAATATTGAAGAAAAATTGTGTATAAAATATTTAGGTGCTTATATAGACAATAAATTAAACTGGAAGTATCAAATAAAACATGTTCAATCAAAAATTTCTAAAAATTTAGGTATCTTAAAAAAAACTTAGATATTACAAGGCTGCACAACCAGTTCTCGTCTTTAGAGGACGAGGCAAATGAACTAAACAATAACAGTGACTTTGATGCTTCCGTAATTAATATTGATTCTGATATACAACAACCAACACCTAGTCAAAATATGTCTGAGAGTACAAGTAAATTTACAGAGCCCAAGGATGACAGAACGCAAGGTACAAGTGGTAACAGTGATCGAGTACCAAAGAAAGGTATTGCACTTATTGGGGATTCAATAATCAAAAATGTTAGTCCGGTAAAACTCTCAAAAAGGAAAGTTTATAAATTCACATATCCAGGTAAAACAACTATAGAAATAACTAATGAGCTTGCCAAAATTAATATTAAACCGGACCAGTCTCATGTTGTTATTCACGCAGGGACAAATGATGTCCCTGTTGAATCTATAGACGAATGTGTTGGTAACATGGAAAAACTTATTACAACAGCTAAACAGAAATTCCCTAATTCTAAAATTGGAATTTCTGGACTTACATTGAGACAGGATAGTGATTTAATATCAAAAATAGAAGAAATTAATGAGAAAGTTCAGAGTTTGTCATCTAAGCATGATGTGACATTTATAAGTATAATATGTCAATAGATGAGACATGTTTGAACTCTAGTGGCCTGCATCTAAATGCAAAGGGGACTGCCATACTAGCTACACATTTTATTAAGTTCCTTAGGGATGGACAATCCTTAAGTTCACTGCGCCCACAAAAACATTCCCGTCAGGATTTTCCAAAGAACACAATAAACCATTTGGCAGAACTACTAAATGCGATAATGAACTTGAACAAGTAAATTGTCAAGATGTGCCAAGCAATTCTTTATTAGGCATAGATAGTGAAATTAACATAATCGCCAAAAGCAAAGGTTTGAAGATAGCCAACTTAAATGTAAATAGCTTAATGAAACATCTGGATGAAATTCGCTTAATCCTAAACAATAACGCCCTTGACATTCTTGCAATTAATGAGTCCAAAATTGATAATCTGATTTCAAATAATGAGATACATATTGATGGTTTTAATATAATTCGTAAAGATCGAAATAGGTTTGGTGGAGGTGTGGTTCTATATGTTCGCCAAAACATATCATTCTCAGACAGAATAGATCTAATCCCTGATGAACTTGAGATGGTCTGCATTGAATTAAGTTTA